TTCTGTTTAAAACCAGAAGTAATGAGAAATAAGGGACTATAATGTCTCATTTTAGAACAGTGATGCCACTGTATAATCCAAAATAAAGACTAATTATAATTTTTGTGCTGTTTTGTTACTTTGAAATATGTACATTTATCATGCCATAGTTCTAACTTTCCTTCGCTATTTCTTTTAGTATATCTCTTATCTGAATCTGAACTTTTTAAATTTCAATAGGCTGAGAGAGCAAGAAAGAAAAGAAGCAGAAGAAGCTAGTCAGAAAGAAATGGAAGAATGGGAAAAGTCACTTTTAGCTCAAGCAGCGCCTACGAGGATGGAGACAATGTGGGAAATTCCAGCTATTGGTCATTTCCTTTGTTTAGCTCAACAGATTTTAAACTTACCAGAGATAGTGTTCTATGAATTGGAGCGTTGTCTTCTGATGCCTCAATGTAATGCTTTTTTATCTAAAATAATGACTTCTTTGTTAAGTCCTCCTCATTGCAGATCTACCTTGCATCGAAAACCAACGCTTCCTTATGGGACTTGGGAAGCAGCACTTAGACAGAAAGTGCAGCAGTGGTATACTGTTGTAGGGCAAACTGACGACCCTAGTGGCTGTGCAGAAAAACTTGGGCTGTGTCCCCAATTCTTTGAAGTCCTTGGAGAAGTTAATCCTTTGGAGGAAAAACCATTTCACGAGCTCCCATTCCACCAAAAAGTGTGGCTGCTAAAAGGTCTCTGTGACTTTGTGTATGAAACGCAAAAAGATGTCCAGGATGCTGTGCTAGGTCAGCCTATCCATGAATGCAGAGAAGTAATCCTTGGTTATGACTACTTTGAGAATGCCTATGTTCATTTTCCACAGTTCTGTGGTGCAGATGTTCGGATTTACAAACAAAAACCTTTTCAGGCCCCAGAATTTCCAACTCCTGCCATCAAAGTAAAAAAAGTACCACGAATTAAATTGGAGAAAGCAAAATGTGAACATGTGAACAAAAGCAATGAGGAAGTTGCATCTGATGGCAGGGAAGAGCTGCTACCTTGTGCCAACACAGAACCAGGGAAAAGTTTTAATTACATTGTTTGCTGTCCAGGAAAAAAAATTCACTTGGATAGCTTTAGTGTCACCACAGAAGAAATAAAACTTAACTGTGAAATAAAAACTGAAAGAGTCTGTGACATCAAAAAAGGTGCTTGCTGCAAAGAGAACTTGGAGAAGACAATTAATCCAGGAGAGATCATTGGCTTTGGAGAACTACTTGGCACAGGAGAAATTAGAGTTGTAGAAAATTGGGAGAACTATGATAAAGCTTCCATAGTAAAAACTGAGCCCAGCCTGTTAAAAGGGAATACCCTGAAAACATGCCAAATGCATGTCAATCATAATGGCAATCCAGAAATGATTTGCCACAAAATCACTAAAGAAACAACGTTGGAGAACTCACTGCGAAATAATAAGAAACTAAAACTTACTAATATGCTGGCAAAAAAGAAGAAAAAGAAAAAAAAGAAGTTAAAAGATACTTTAAATGAAAATCTCCAGAGAAAACTTGACGACTCTCAAAGAAAGCGTGAGATTCATTCTCATACGTTCAAATCTTATAAATCTGAGATTCAGAACAAGTTGTTCATAATCAAAAAGACAGCAAAACACAAGCACAAATCTGGTAAGTAATTTTGTTGTTGTTGTTTAATTGTGCCAAAAATAAAGGATATGTTGGGTTTTTGTTTTTTAGTGTGTTTAAAATAGTCTCCTTGTCTGAATAGGTCACGCTTTAGTTTGTGAACTGGGACAGCATTATTGCATTACACTTTCCTGATGTTAATTTTAATGTAAAAGTTTTCCATTTGATAACACAAGCATATAAAACAGGCTCATCAGTTGATTAAACCGTTATTCATGTGCAAACTTTACCCAGAGAGAACATAATTCATTGGGAGAGCTTTTGTTACAAAAAGTACCTAGGACAATGAATCTGCTTCAGGGAGCATACTTTGAAGTTGTTTCATGCTACTTTATCTTGAAGCAATTGCGGACGTATTTCTCCCCTTTCTGATAGTATTACTTTATACTAGTTGCAGAGAAATGTAGAGTAATTATGTGAGGTCATGATTTTACTAAATTACTGCTAGAACTGTATAATCTTAATCACTTAGGAGTACGGATTTGACCACAGACCCATGATCACGTTTCTGCTAAATTAACCAGACTGCTTCATGCAGGCTTTATGCAGATGGTATTTTTTATTTCAGATATGGCTCAACTAGATATTGTCATAACTTAGAGTGGTACAGATAGGCAATACCTGATCCAGTAAGTTTTCCAGGATAAAGTTCTCCTTGAAACTTTTTTTAAACAATTTTGAAATTAGTAAAGTTACAATGTACTAAACCAGTACAAATTATCATGTGACTGAAGCATTTTTGATCTGGTATGAGGCACCCTAAGGTTGGATCTGCCCTCTTGTTTAACCGTGGGCTAAGATGTATGTTATGTTTTAATTGAGTGTTTCAAACATGGCATTTATGGAAGAAGGTTTACTTTCCAGGATACTGAAGTAAATACTAGGGAAATCCCTTTGCAGTTGTGAAGCAAAGGGCCCAAAACAAAAAATATGTATAAAACCCCCCACATCTCTTAAAGATAAGACTATTTAAAGCACTATTGTCAATGCATTTTAGCAAGAGTTCTAGTGGAAGATTAAAACTGTTTGTTATATCACGTTTTGGACCCAAGATATCAGTGCAAAATACCCAAACTTCTATCTTGCCCTATAAATCTCAAGCTCCTCTTTCTCCCCTCCCCATTTTATCATCAGTTTGAATTCTTCTTAAACAACAAAAAACAAATTCATCTTTTGCCCTTTACCTGTGTTCATATTTTTGGGGGGGAATCCCTTTATTTTTTTTATTCCTGACAAGTTGGATTTTCTTGTTTAAGCAGCTTAAATACAACTTTAATTTGAGTCACAGCTCATATTTCTGTTGAGATGGCTAGCACTTTTCCCAGTTGTAACAGTGGCCAAAAGATACCATTCATGAATAAAGACAGCTTATGTGTTAGCTGAAGGCTTTTCATAACTGTTCTGAGCAGAACATATTGAGAACATTGCCATAACCTGTTGTTGATATGGATTTATAGTGTTACGATTAGGAAAATGTAACCACTTTATGAACCTGATCTAGTATTTGAGGCAAAGTGAAAGTTATTACTGTGAACTGTACAGTGTACTGTAACAATGGTATTGATCAGAGTTGTACTGGAGATGATAGAATGTATATTGTATGTCTAAATTTAGTGTAGGCTGTGCTATTAAGTAGAACATAGGCATCTCACATCTGCGTGGTCAGAAGACATCGACATTCTCCTAGGCCAAATTGTCCTGTGTTTTGTTGTGCTTGTAGGCTAGGGATGAAAAGACATGTGGAAAGCAAATATCTTCATCTTTTCGAAAAGATCATGAGTTGCCAAGGGCTGATGAGAGAGTCTTCTTTCTTTGACAGAAAGATAATCTCACAGAGAGAAGCTCTGTAAACAACTAGTAAGCTGGAGATCCAAATGAAATGTATGTTTTCACTGATTTTGTTCCAAGTAAATTAGGCTGTAAATCTCTGATATGTTCTTAGACTTGCAGGATCTGGATAATTAGCATCATCACAGTTCCAAGTCAGCTGTACTGAGTTATGATTGATATACCAAGGATTGCAGTGCAAGGCACAATGCAGAAACAATTCTGTGATTGCATGCATGAAGGAGTGACTGGGTGAGACTTAAAAACTAGAGGAGTTAGGAAAAACAAGGGGGAATCAGAGGCTGTTTGTGTCAGGGAGCAGTGAGGACCAGCTGTTCCCCAAGGAAAGGAGAGCCAGGAGGTGAGCATAACAAAGTGGGCAGGGTAGTGGCCTCGCCAACAAGATCCCAGTCTACATATGCATGTACCCAAGTGAAGCAAGTAAGGCAGCCAGGTTCAGCCAAGGATCCAGATCGTCAGACAAGTCCATGATGATGAGGCAGGTCTGAGGTCAAGCTGGGAAGTCAGTCTGTGGGTCAGGGTCCAGATCAACAGGGTACATGACCAGGCACAGGCATGACTGACCCAGCTGTAACTGTAGCTCAGGTGGGGTCCAGCGTTAGAATCGAAGCTCCCATGGGAAGGGAGGTCAGCCCTGGTTGATGCCTCCCAGCAGTGCTGTCTGGCAGTGGCCCTCCCCACCATCATCAGAGGGAAGGAAGGGCAGCCCTCAGCTGCCCTATTGCTAAGCTGGTCCTGAGTCTAGTCAGCCAAACCTCCAGGAGGGGGGTGGCTCTTTTGGGCCCTTACAGTTTGGATTAATTGGGATGTGCCAAAGCAAAGGTTGAAGCAACTGTTAATTGAATTTTTCTCAGTCTGATTGGTGTAGAAAATCTATTTTAGTACATACTTGTTATAACGCAAGTGTTTCTTGAAACGTTATCTTTCAGAAGAACCTTGACGTAAATGTTACATCCTGTATTCATGTTCTAAGATTCATAGCAATCCACCTGCTTAAAATCTGCTGTCTTCTACCATCTCACAGTCAAATTTATCTCTTTAGAATATCAGTAAGATGTTTTGTGTATTTTTATTATTTATTTTTTTTATTAATATGAAGTTCAGCATTACTTGAATGTCAAGGTATGAACCTAACAGCCTGGGTATGATTTGGTAGCGTCTGGTATACTGCCCTCCTGAGTTTTGTCTTCACCTTTATCTTTGTTTTCGGAGTTATAAAAACTTTGTTACTATAGCATCATCAATTGTCCAGATTTGGGATAGCCCATTAACTGTGTTAAAATGAGGTATTACAGAAACACTTCTGGTTTTGTTTTGTTTTTACAAGTTATTGATACATCAAGATACGGGGTTTGTCAGTCAGCACTAATATCTTCAAAAACATGTACCACTGAGGTTTTATTGTGTTTGCTTACATTGTTTTGTGTTGTAAGCCAGTGCAACTGATGCGTTTATTGAGACCTGCTCTGCTGTTTTGAGTATATGCAGGTGCAGGCTTGTGTCAATATGGAACTTTCTGAAGTCCACTGTAATGGTCCATTTTCCAGCTTATTGTCCTTTATAGTTTTCTAAAGGAAGAGCTGTTGGGGCTAAAATAAAATAAATCTACATTTGGAAAGTAAAATAAAAAAAATGGGACATGATCTGCACTTGCAAAATGTCTGGAGGACGTGAAGTAGATGAAACAGTTTTTTTCAATTGGAGCAAAGTATAGAGTTAAAGCTAGAATATAAGTGGGAAAAGTCAGAATTTTTGCAATTAGAAGGGACCAGATAGCTTAAGTTGGTGTTAGTCATAATAAAATAAAGGATTTAGGGTTATATGTCAAGAAACACCTTTAGTTCTGTGTTTGTCATTTCCCCCCCCCCCTCCAGGAATGAGACTGCTGCAAGGACTTCCTTTGTAAGCCCTAATTCTGTTGTTATCACATCATTGAAGCAACTCTGATCCTTCAGTCAGGAGCCACAGGGGCTCAAATGTCATGGCTTATAACAAAAAAAATTTCTGTCAAACTTTTAGAAATTTTTCTTTTATCAAGTTTAAAAAAAAAAAACAACTTTATCCTATGATAACTGATACCACCATTCCTTTTAACAGTATGAATTAAAATTTTTTTTAATGTAAGATTTGCTCATTTCTGATTTTTGTTTGTTTTATTTCCAATTTCATTTTGGTTTAGGTTTGATATATAAAAATACTGTCCCTGATCTGAGACTGTCATATGTGGAAACGTGGATTATCTTATTTCAAGCTTAAGTGGAAATGTTTCAGTTGTCTTCTGATATAATGCTCTTCTCTAAAGAGAAAGTCAATTTCAAAATATATGAACATTAGTTTCATGTTCCATTTAGTGTTGTCTGCTGATGCTGCTGTTAGCTTATGCTAGCACTGAATATACGTGTTTCCTTCCTGTTCATCCATAAAACACCAGACACCATATTCTAGTGGGACAAGAGAACATTCAGGTTAATGATGCTTGTGTCTGCTTAACACACAGTGTACAGGTGAATATGGATTTACTTGATTAATTATGGAAAATCTGAACTTTACTGCATTCCTACCTCAAGACAGAATTTATTTCCTTTCAGTGAAAGTGGTGGGATGGTAACTAAGTTCAGCTAACTGCTCTGTCATTTGTTGCAGGTTTTGCACATGTACTAGTGTGCACTGTGCAAGGCAGTCTTAATTCCATAGTATCATAGACTCAAAAATACTGTTTGGAAGGAACCTCTGAAGGTCATCTAGTCTGATTTTTACACACACACACAGCTCCAAGTGGGACTATCATTAATACTAAATCAGGTCAGCTGTAGCTTTGTCTAGCAAAAACCTTCAAGAATAGATATTTATTGTTTGGGGGGTTTCTGTTTTTGTTCTTGTTTGTTTTTTTTTAATGTGAGTTTTTGTACTAGAACAATGTTAATTTTTGTGGTTATGTGTGGGAGCTGTTATTAAATGGCTTGTAAACTTCGGCTAGTAAAAGTGGGGGACTGAGGGGTAGGGAAATAAATGGTATTTTTGGATGGAAATATGAGACAGTGTATATCAGCTTCTTTCTGCATCAGATTTTTTTTTAATTGCTGAACTTTCTGGACAGAGCTGGGGGGGAAACATGTATTTGTGCTTCAATATACTCTGAAAGGTATTACTTAAATAATATCACAGAATGGTTGAGGTTGGAAGGGACCTCTGGAGATCATCTGGTCCAACCCCCCTGCTCAAGCAGGGTCATTTACAGCAGGTTGCTCAGGGCCTTGTCCAGTCGAGTTTTGACCATCTCCAAGGATGGAGACTCTACAACCTCTCTGGGCAACCTGTTCCATTTAAATTCAAAAAAAAAAAAAACAAAAAAACATAAGAACATAAGTTGTGGTTTTGTTTTTTTTGTTTTTTTGTTTAAGTGGAATTTCCTGTATTTGTGCCCGTTACCATCTTATTCTGCCACTGCATACTGTTGAGAAGAGTCTGGTTTTGTCATTTATTTTTATTACACCCTCCCATTAGGTGTTTATGCACATTCATAAAATTCCTCCCCTTCCCTCCCAGCCTTCTCTTCTCTGAGCTGAACAATGATTCAAATAGCTATGTTTACTGTCATTTCAACAAATGAAATTGTGGTATTAAGTGTTTTAAGTCCTTTTAGGCTGTCTTTATCTAGGGATATAGTCAGAAGAGCTCTAGCAAGGTCTTGCTGGAGTGGTTTTAGAAGTTACCACTTGCAGGGTGCCTGTTCAACTCTTTTGTGATGTTACTCTCCATGTAGAACCTGTGCACGCCTCAGTTTGGCAGTGTGACTTAAACTGCTGACAAATTTACATTTAAGCTAAATGACTGGGCTTTTTACTGCCATGGCAAAAACGTGCATGTGTTCTGTGCCATATGCTGTGGGGTCAGTAGCAGACAGCTAGGGGAGGGTGACATCCTTAAGCACTACAGTAACTTCTGCTCTGAATGTCTGTGCTTTGAGAATCTAAAATGGTATATCTTCATAGATTTATTGTGGAAATCTGATTCTTGGGGATCTGGAATTAATTTTTCCAAACAGATTGGTGGGTGTGGTTTTTTTTTTTTTTTTTGTTTAAACTGGAGTGAATTCAGTGGAGAGACACTAAGATGGTCAAAGGGCTAGAACTCATGCCATATGAGGAGAGGCTGAGGGAACTGGGTTTGTTCAGCTTGGAGGGGGGGTGAGGGGGGGGGGGGGGGGAGAGGACACATGTGCATGTCCTAATAGCAGCCTTTCAATTATCTATGAGGAGGCCATTAAAAAGTCAGAGCCAAGCTCTTCACAGTAGTGCATGGCAGCAGGATGAGAGACAGTGGGTATAAGTGGAAATGAGAGGTTCAGACTGGATAGGAGGAGACACTTTTTCATGATGAGGACAGTCAAGTATTGGAACAGGTTGCCCAGAGAGGTTGTGCAGTTCCCATCTTTGGAGGTTTTCAAGACCAGACTGGATAAAGCCCTGAGTAACCTGGTCTGACCTCATAGCTGACCCTGCTTTGAGCAGGAGGTTGGACTAGAGACCTCCTGAGGTTCCTTCCAACCTAAATTGTCCTATGATCCTAAATGTAAGTGAATTTGAATATTTTTGTGTTTAATGCATTCCAGCGGAGCAAGTAAGTAAGTTTAAGTGTGTGGTGGGTTTTTTGTGAAGGGTTTTGTTTTTAAATTATCAATTCTATTGTTGTAGTAGTCTTTGATCCTGCTGATGAAGGGGAAGGGCTGGAGGAGAGGATGCATCTTGTGGGTCAATGTCTGGTTGTGCAGATGGTGTAGTCAACAGGGATTTGGCTTTTACGACCACCTCTTTGACTGTTAAGGAGAGATGGGATCCACCTGACACAGTGAGGCAAGAGCATCTTTGCCAACTGCCTGGCCAAACCTGTTGAGGAGAGCTTTAAACTAGGAGCAATGGGGGAGGGAGATGACAACACATAGTCAAATGAGGAAGCGGTGGACACCAGTTGAAAGCAACGGGTGCAGGGTGATGGAAATGAGGGAGACCTCAGGAATGATAAAACAGGATAAAGGGACACCCACTTCAAGAGTATGTACACAAAAGCACTCAGCCTGGGAAATAAGCAGGAGGAAATAGAGCTCCGCATCCAGTCACAAATCTACAACGTCATTGGAATAACTGAGACATGATGGGACAGCATGCACAACTGGAAATCTGTGATGGATGGACACAGGCTCTTCAAGGAAGATAGTCAAGGAAGACATGGGGGGAGGGAGGTGGCCCTCTATGTGAAGGAGCAGCTTGGATGTATGGAACTCTTCTATGGGATGGATGAAAGTACAGTTGAGAGCTTGTGGGTCAGGATGAGAGGAGAGGCTATTAGGGTGACATGATGGTGGGAGTTGGCTACTGACCACCTGATCAGGGTGAGGAAATGAATGAAGCATTCTTTAAGCAACTGGAAGAAGTCTCTATATCACAGACTCACAGACCCAACCAGGGCTGACGCCTAGCTGGATCTGCTGTTCGCTAACAAGGAAGAACTGGTTGGGGATATGGTCATCAATGGTAGCTTTGGCTGTAGCGATCATGAAATAGTGGAGCTCAAGACTGAGGGGAGTGAGCAAAGAGTAGCACAGTACAGACCTGGGACTTCAGGAGAGCAGATTTTGGCTGGATGTTTAAGGATGCTGTCAGGAAAGCCCAAGTTCAAGTGGAATTGATGCTCACAAGAGAATTCAAGGGCAACAAGAAGAGCTTCTACTGCTATGTTAGCAGTAAAAGGCTGAATAAGGAAAACATAGGCCTGTTGCTGAATGGGCCAGATGATTTAATGACAGCAGGTGCAGATAAGCTGTTCCTTGACTCAGTCTTCACTGGCAAGTTTTCCTGGACCCCTCTTCTCTCCAGGACTGTCCCATGGGTTTCTTCCAAGCAGCTCCCTAAACAGGCTAAAGTCTGCTCTCCTGAAGTCCCCTGTTGTTCCTAGCTGCATGACATAGATACTTTGATAAGTCGTATGTGATACGTTAACCCTGATGTTTCAGGCAGTAAGCCAGTTGCCTTAGGTCCAAGGAGGGTTTTTTGGGTTGTTTTCCCCCCTCCTTTTTAAACATCTGTATTAGTACATAATTTTTTTATGTACATTACATATTGGGTGGGAATTGCTTTATTCAGAAACATTAGGTTTTGCCACAGTTCTAGCCAAGCTGCTAGAAAAGATGAAGCAGTAATCTGCTTTTATGTGGTAATTTCAGTGTATCCATGTAGCAATTTCTGCAAATTGCTTCTGCTTTGAGAATGTATTTTAATATAACATACAGAGATTTCAGAGCCTAGTATGTAGATTACTTTGCAGAAGTATTGGGGGACAAATTTTTACAGGTAAGTGTTGTTTCTTAAGTTTGTGGAATAAATTCTGGAGTTTGCGTCTCTCTGAACAGCAGCATGAATGTTTCTTGTATGACTTAAGATAATATTACAATAATTTTATAAACTTCTAGGTGGTATTTTGGGGGACTTGTAGTGGGTTTGTTCTTTGAAGGGAGGGGAAAGGTGATGGAGGGGGAGGGGAGGCTGCCCTGGGCAGATGCCTATGGTTTAATGTTTGATTTGGTTGAGTCTGGTTCTGATTCATCATGTTTATATGACTCACCATCAACCATCTGTAAATTATAATGTAACTTTCAAGTCTATATATAATTCTGTTCTATTAATGAATTGCAATAAACAGCATTATGAAGCTTTTCTCTTTTAACCTTACAAGGGAAAAAGTCCATATCTAAAAAAGCAATCAGAAAGAAGAGGAAAGCTGTTGCAAAGTCTGCTGTACCAGAATTTCAGGTAAATGATTTTTGTTTTTAAGTACTTGAAATCTGAATGTCTTTAGAGTAATTCCCTCAGTGGTTGACTGAGACCCCATAGACTATAGCTCCTATTGGAAAAATGAGATCCACCTTTAACTAAGTGGATTGAAAAGTTTAATCTGACAACATTTTCACGTGTGCATTTTACTTTTTGTTGATAGAAAAATGTTTTCACATTTTTTATTATGTGCAGCTTAACTAGTACTGTGCAACACTATATAAAATAACCCATCAATTAAAGCATAGAACTTGAAAAACTGAGATGCATGTAGTTGATACTGTAGATATTGCCAAATATATAGTTTTCACAGATAAAATTAACTGGGTTTTACCCGAATGTGACACTTAATCTTTGAATTGAGGAGATCTAGCTTGATCTAGTAAAGACTTGGGGGAAGACTGAGGGGGCGAGTGTTTTAGACTCATGGACTCCTCTTGTTTTTACCTTTTATCTGTATGTGAATTTTAGATCAGAGAGCACCAAGAGAGTAATTATAATGTGTTTTTTTTTTTTCCTATGATACTATAGTTGAATTACTAAAACACTTCTGCTATAAGTCACAATTCATGCATACATGCTTGCTTGGTTTGGAGCTCTCCTATGGTTATAAGAATATTTTATATTCCTTGTTTTAAGAAAACAATCTGTGCTACTCTGACCAATGAGGCTTCACTAAATTGCAGTTATCCTGCAAAACCCTCAAATTGAATGTTTCATTCATGATGATGTAGTGTTCCAGGTAGGGATGGTAGAATTTCTAGCGATTTAAATCCCTTAGTAACAATTAATGCTAAATAAGGACCAACATCTAAATGTGCTTTGATATTTGTCTACATTCTAATGTTAAGTGTTAAAACTGCTCCTGGCAACTCCAGAAAGTAAGAAAAATGCACACTTTTAACATTTTGCATGATATGCTACCTGCATGCGTGTTCACTATTTAAATAAATATAAGTCCTTTTCTACATTATTCTGCTGTTGCTTTTAAAAAAAATTAACTATGCTACAAGGCAGTCTGTCTAAAATAGTATCTAAAGTTTAGCCTAACTTTTTATCTAACCTGTGTAAACTCTAGGATAACTAAAATGCATCAAAATAATTGGCACTGTTGATCAGAGCTCTGTTTTAGATCTGTTTTAGTTGAAGCTAAGATCTGTCAATACTGGTAGCATAGTCTTATTGAAATAAGACAGACAGGGCTGTAGAATAGGACTGTTTTACAAGTTTGTTTGTTTTTAATATTAAAAGTGAGTGGGAATACTACTGAAACTTTTTAGATACTGCAGTATAGTGTGTTTTCTTGATCCTCTCTACTCCACATACATGATGGCCAAACTTAATAAAATTACGTAAATGTTTAAGTATTTTATTTTTTCTTAACCATTTGATGAGGTGCCTCAAGCCTATACTTGGTGTGAGATATGTAAAGGGAAGTGTTTTTTATAACCATATACATAAGTTTATTTACATGCAGTCTATTAACATCCTCACACTGTATAGACCCTCAATGCACATATACCAATGATGTATTCTTCATTTTATAAGAACAGGTCCTAGTACTTCAAATAAAACCAACCAAACTTTAAAGCTAAATAAATTAGTATCAACTCTTTTAATATTTGCAATATAATGATATACCCAAATTATACATTACATTAATATTTTAATCATATTCAAGGGGTAAATGTACTAATGATTCCTCACATTGAGAATACCATGTGTGGAAAAACCATTCAAGGAAACGTGACCTAGTTTCTATGCTTTCTTTCATAGTTTGAATGTCAATGTGAGGTGTGGGGGAGTGTGTATGTCTATTGAGTGTGGGGGATGCCTGGTGTTGTGTGTGCAGGCATGGTGGGTGGGAGGAGGAATGTGGTGGAGGTGGGGGGGTGTATTGTATAGTTTGT